TCGATTGCAATTACAACAGAATACAAAGTGTACAGTGCTTATTTTATTACAAATGTTAGCACTGTAAATGATAAAATAGTATTTTTCAATTCAACTCACATGAATATAGTAGTGTGAACTCTTTATCGAGAAAGTGCAACTTAAAAATGTAGGGTTCTTGGGGGTTTTTTGTTTTTTGTTTTTTTTTTTTTTAATAAAACTGGATTCAGAAATATACACCCCAAGTCCGCTCAGTCCTACTTCTTGTTCATCTAGTTGCTACAGGAGATAATGCTGCCTACTTCATATTTACAATTCCATCTGGAAGTAAAAGTGGGTTTTCACATGGCACTTTTGTAATTGATCTTGCACGGTATTTACAGTACATGCTAAATATGCTAAACATTTGAACTCTGATTTCTTGCTTTGGCCACCATTCCAGAGAGCTGGTGTTTCCGTGCTGATGGCACTCATTAAAAAAGAAAAAGGCATTCATTAAATTTGTGACTGAACTCCTTGAAGGAGAATTGTATGTCTCCTGTTTTACTTGAATCCTGCCATATGTTGTTTGTTTTAAGGACACTTTCATTACAGTTTTGACAAAACATAAATAAGGTACCTGTGTGAGATTTCTAAAGATCTACAGCACTCAATCCAAGCTTTAAGACTTAGAAGTATCTCCCACTCAGATTTTGGAAGGAGGCATGAAGCATGCTTTCAGAAATCTTAAAAGAACAACACTCTGATGCAAAAACTACAGAACCTGAATCACCCAAAAAGAAAATCACTCTTCTGCTGGTGGCATCTGACTCAGATAATGTGTCAGTCTGTATTGCTTTGGATCATTATTGACCAGAATCCATCAGGCTCATGTACACATATCCTCTGGAATCATGACTGAAGCATGAAGGGACACATTAATCTTTAGTGCATCCATCATGTAAACATTCTGTGACGTTGGCTACAACAGTGTGATACGAACAGCTCTTCTCGCTTTCAGGTATTATTATACGTAAACAATAAGCAGCAACACTGTCTCCTGCAAATGTAAACTAACTTGTTTGAGTATGTGACTGGCTGCACAAGAAGTAGAACTAAGTGGATTTGTATGTCCACATTTCTATGATTTTATAATAAATAAAATAAAATAATAAAATAATAACATTCTATAGTAAAATTAAAAATTAAGTTTAGTCATATTTTATTGGTAGTCAATACAACCTCCTACTAAAACACATGAGGCTTGTGAGCCACCAAATTTTTGCTGCTACATATCCTAATACAAAATTTCTTCTGCTTTGACCTCTGTCTCGGTGTATGACAATGGGAGCAAACATCCTTTTCTTCACTTTTAAACAGACCAAGAATTTCAAGCCCTCTGAGTAGGGCTAACAGTCTTGCTCAAGTCATTGCAAGTTTTACTGTCAACTTCATAGCAGCAGCATTAAGCAAACCCTGGGTGCTTTTGAAAATATCCTCTTTTTTCCCCTTGTCCCAAATGTTTTCCTCCACCATTGATTAACCTCTTGTTTACTACCTCCCATTATTCCTTTTCATTTTCCTATTGAAAATTTTAAGGTGTTGTTTTGATTGCAAATATTTTGTTAGCTTTGAAAACATTTGTGCTGTGGTTTTGAGTATCTCAAGCCTGTCAATGCACTTAAGAACAGAGGGAGACTAGAAGATTACTTATAAAGAAAATTATTTTGTATGTTTAACAGTTTTGTAGAAAATAATCATGATTTTTAGCATTATTACTGCAGATCCATTTATGAAATATCAAATGTAAATTAGTTTAGCAAAATACAGTTTCCCACAAAGGCATCAATTTAAGTTTTGGACACACAGATTGCTGACATGTTATTAAGGATCTCATAACCCAGGAGTTCTCAAACTTTCTCTTTCTGAGGCACACTCAACATGCTATAAAAATTCCATGGCCTACCTGTGCCACTGACTATTTTTCTACATAGTCAGTAAATTAAGAAGCCAGAGCTAGCGTTAGAGGGTCGCAAGAAGGACAATTGCCCAGGACTCCCAAACCACAAGGAGCCTCACAAAGCTAAATTGCTCATGCTCTAGCTTTCTGCCCTGGGCTCCAGTGAATCTAACACTGGCTTTACTTTCTAGCTTATTTTGGAAGCCTTCCTAAAACTTGGGTTGCCAACCCTCCTCCTCCCTGGGAGTCCCAGGGTCCTGGTTGAGAAACACTGTCATAGTCAACTAAATAATGCCCAGAACACACAAAGCACGTGGGTAACAGGCTTCCCCATTTCCTTTGTACACTACATGATAGCAATAATGCAGTCCTCACAGTTCCTGTAGGATTATGACACTTTTTGGATTTGGCTTGGTGCCTTACCACACCCCTTGAAGCATGCAATCATCACCCACAAATACACAGCCTAGCATGTCTTATTACTTAACAATATCATGTAGCAATGGTGTTAACAACCATGAAAGGTGTTCCACATTACCTAAAACAATTATTATGCAAATGTAATTCCTAAAACACTTAGGCTATGTCTACACGCGCGGCTTCTTGCACAAGTATGGCCAAGAATCCGCAGAGCGTCTACACTGCCCGCCCACTCTTGCGCAAGGAAATTTACAGTACCGCGTAGTGAGAGAGGGCTTCTCGTGCAAGAGCTACGCTCTTTTTTAACAGGTGTAAGCCCTCTTGCGCAGGAGCTCTTGCGCAAGAGGGCAGTGTGGACACTCGGCAGGGATTTCTTGTGCAAGAAAGCCCTATGGCTAAAATGGCCATCGGAGCTTTCTTGCGCAAGAGAGCATCCACACTCCCATGGGAGCTCTTGCGCAAAAGCACAGCGCACACATGGCAGTCTGGAGGTTTTCTTGCACAAGTCTTCTTGCACAAGATGTTCTTGCGCAAGAGGCCACCAGTGTAGACACAGCCTTAGGTTATTAAACTGTTAATTTGCTTATGCTGACAAGTTACTAATCAAGTTCCATATAGTCACATATTGTGTTCATTCAAAATCAAGCCCATAAGAGCAATGTAAGTGGTTGTGACACTTTTTGGCTTAGCAAATAAACCTGTACGGTGAAGAGCTTAGTGAATTCAATTAAACTGTGAACATTATTATCAATCACACTGTTTGAAAAACATGAGTCAGATCCCAAAAATTAAAAATTAAAAAAAGGTCAGGGGTTCTCTTTATTTGTCTTCTAGTTTTCAAGCTTTTAGAGCATACTCTGGTCATCTGTTCAAGCTCCTGTAATTATTTTTTAAATAAAAGCTGAGATTTTCATGTATCCACATAACTCCAGGAACTGGGGCTTTAAGAAAACTACCAAATATCTCAAGAGTTGCCAACATTTCTTAAGACACTCCTCTCACTATTAATGCAGCAAAAACAAAGATCAAGTCATCATAATAGGAACTGTTCTGATTTGTATCTTACCAATCTACAGACACAAGGTCTGAACAAAGCCGATTGAAGTCAATAGGAATCTGGCCCATAGTAAAGATTAATAAACTTAAAATGGGCAAGGAATGGGAAGGGAGACAAGTACAGTTTCCAAAAATGTCTTCTGTGGGGAAAAAGGCAGAAAAGAAGACGATCTGTAATAGGTGGAAGAACACAGGAGTTTAGCTGAACATTTCAAAAGGAAAGTACTCTTTAAATACCTAATCAACAGAATTAGTTTCTAATTTTCACTTTGTTCAAATTATAAACCTTCAAGTAAATTCAGATCTACAAAAATCTTCTGAAATATCGCACAACACACCCATAATGCTGCTACTGGACTTTCTGGTCTACACTGGGAATTTACATTGGTACAACTACACCACTCAAGGATGTCAAAAATGCAAGAGCGGTAGCTATACCAACTTAATCTCCGTCAACACTAGCTTGATGGACGAATTCTTCTATTGACCTAACTGCCATCTCCGAAAAAGCTGAATTACCTATGCTGATAGGACACCTGCTCCTGTTGACATAGGTGGCATCTACACCAGGGTGGGGAATCTGTTTTTGGTCAGGGACCACCCACAGAAAAATCATTCGGGAGCTGCACACAAGTGAAAAACAAACAGAAAAAGTCTGTAAATCGGCTTCAAACAAGCAAAAAATAAAACTGAACCAAAGCAAAACCTCACGGACCTGGCTTCCTACAAGCTTGGAGCTTACCCAGCAATGGGGCAAGCCGGCACTCACACACTAGTCCCAAGAGGGGGAAAGGGTGCCAAGAGTCAGAGATTTGCCATGGCGCTGAAGCATGAGCACTGGCTTAGCCTGCTGGGGGGGGAAGCCCCAAGCCTCACTGTGGTCTGAATCCAAGTAAGCTGAGGGCTAGATCCAGCCCATGGGTTGCAGGTTCCCCACTGCTGGTCTACTCTTTACCACTGCAGCTGCCCACTGTAGACACACCCTGAAGCTAAGTATATTGCCCAAAACTTCATTTTCTCCTGGAATGCATACCTAAGAAATACTTTGCCTGTTTATAGTTCTTTTCGTTGATAGGGTCACAAAGTGTTTTAATCATTTATTTGTGTAATTTCTAGCACTGAAGTTGCTGACCAACATATCAAGCACATTTTAATATCTTTAGTACATAATGAAAGCCAGTGCACATTTACAGAACTTCAACAGAAAAAAAAAATACATTCTCTTGAACCTGGGAATGTATTAAATGCTCAAAACCTGGGGACAGAAAGTTCTCTTATTCACTGCAAAGTCTAGGCCCTTCACCTATAAAACACCATACACACTTGTACTGCTATATAAATACAATCCTCCCTCCCCCCCCCCCCAAAAAAAAAGGTGTGGAAAAAAACCATCCAACTCTGAGAACTGCAAAAAATATATCACCCCCAAACAACACTCAACAGAGCCTTGCACACTTGTGGTGTAACAGGATGACAAGCAACTGCTTCTACAAAAAAAAAAAAGAGGTGAAAGTAAGCGGGGGCGCAGCTCCAACAAGAGCTGGCTGAGCTGTGGCAAAAGCCAGCAGGGAGCTACTGCAAGCTGGCAGGGACCCAGGCTGCTTACCTGGAAGAAATTTTAAGTTACTTTCACGGCTGAAGAAGTGCAAACAACATTTCCCAAATTGCTTACAGAGGTGACTCTAACCAGCGCACGGGGAAGCAGGTCGTGAAGCGAGCCTGGAAAGCCCCGGGGGGCTGAGGAGAGGAGCAAGGTGCAGACCACCAGGCAATCTGTACCCCTGCTCCCCAAAGCGGTCACCGGTGCCCCAGTGAGGAGGGGACTTAAAACCTGAATGTCAGACTAGG